GCAAACTAGTAGCATTTTTAACGCTGGTAAAAATGAGGAATAAAAAAAAACAATTGAGAGTCGTTATTTTGATTTTTTTCAGTAAAATAACATTTTTTTAAATGGAAACCCCCGTATATTATATTTTTTTCTGTTAAAGCATCAAATTTTAAACAAAAAAGCTTACAATAACTTTTCTCCTAGGTTACAAATTGTTGAAGTTATGGCCTCCAATCTGAAACAATTAAATTGTATCGACAAACTTTATTTTCAACATCAACTTATAATCTTACAAAATACAATAACAATTTTTTTAAAGAAGATGCTCGAAAACACCACCTTGTTCTTCAATACATTTTTGGGCACGTTTTTCAACTGCTCGAACTGTCTTAAGTATGGTCCTACCATCTATCTGGGTTATCTTTTCCCTAACTGCAGTCTTTAACGCGTCAAGGTTATCGTACCTTCGCTTGTAAATTTGGTTCTTTAAGTAACCCCACAAGAAGTAATCAAGTGGGTTTAGATCTGGTGATCTGGGAGGCCACTGTATTGGGCCATTTGTTCCTATCCACTGATCATTAAAAGTAGTACTTAGAAAATGATAAGTACCTCTGGAGTTGTGGGCAGGTGCACCATCTTGCTGAAAATGCAGATGATGCCTACTTATAAGATCCAATTCGTCTAAGAAATTAGTCAGAATTTCTGACATAAATTCCACATATCTTTCACCAGTTAGGGTTCCCTCATAAAAGAACAAGCCAACAATTTTTGAACCAATTATACCGCACCAAACGTTGAAACTGAAACGGACTTGTGGGCCTCTTGGATGTACTAACAAAAGATTTTCTCTTGACCAATAATGGTGGTTTTTTCTATTAAACATTCCAGAATTTGAAAAATTTGATTCATCTGTCCATAAAAGGTAACGAAAGTTATTTACATTTTGGCGACAGAAGCTAAGATACCAATGGCAAAAAACAAGTCTTCTCTCTGGATCCCCTGCCAAAAGCGTTTGAACTCGTCGGTACTTATACGGAATAAATTTGTATTTTTTTAAAATCCTTTGAACAGTACCATAACTGAAATTAGAGTCCTTGAGAATATCTGCTATTGAATTCTCACGATAAGCTTCAAAATATCCAATAACTGCAATTTCCGTGGCCTCGCTTATTATGAATTCTTTTTTTGCCCTTGTTTTAGCAAAAACATTTTCGTTGCCCCTAAATTTTCGATAAAGTCTCAGAAAATATCGTTCATACGGTTGAATGCGAGCGGGATATAATTCACTGTAGTATTCTCTTGCTCTCAAGGAGGATTTTCTGCACACTAAATAGCATTCTAACATATCACACTTTTCTTCATGGGAGAACATTTTTCTTTAAATTAATGACACAATAAAGCTTATAAACAAGTATTTACACTAATGTTTGACATTATTTGATTTTATCATTGTTTTCCAAAGCCTTCTAGTTGCGAGTATGTCCAGTTTAACAATTTGTCGCTTATCTTAATGCTGTCAAATCGCGAACGCCAAGTTGTTTTCATAGCCGTCTTAATATTATAATACTGCAAATAATTAAAAATATTTATCGTTATTTTGACTTTATTTTTGACTTTAGCGGAAAAGTCACTATGAACTTTTTTGTTTAAAATTTGATGCTTTAACAGAAAAAAATATAATATACGGGGGTTTCCATTTAAAAAATTGTTATTTTACTGAAAAAAATCAAAATAATGACTCTCAATTGTTTTTTTTTATTTCTCATTTTTACCAGCATTAAAAATGCTACTAGTTTGCTAATTTAAACAACTTTGTATTTTTACTAATAACAAAGTTACCAATGGTGGACACTTAATTTGGATAACCCTGTATATCAAGACACCCGATCAAATTAAAAATTTTCGAAATATTAAAAGTACATAGTACTGCATTTTGGGGGGAAAACGGCAGAGTCCCTTCCAACCTCCTTAAAAATTATCGATCATTTTCGGGTTAGAAGGGACTCTGTGATTTTTCCCCCAAAATGCAGTATTACTTTTCATATTTCGAAGGTGTTCTATAATTTTTAATTTGTTCGGGTGTATTGATATATAGTGGTAACAGCTATGATTTCCGTCTTTACCAAAAAAAAACCAATGTGTCCGTCCTTTTGGTTTTACATTTGCAACAAGTGCTCTCATCTACGCTTTCGTTTTGAAACACCATTTGGCTGCAGCCTCAGAGACGACTCCTGATGATGGCTCCATAGCGTGCCGAAAGCTCGAGATTACCGTTAAAAGATTTTACTAAAGCCTAAAATTAATTAATAATTAATTGTATTTCTTGCCTAACTGGTCGTTGGCAATGGCAATGACTTCTCGTATATATATATATATATATAACGCTACAAAATGATTTTCAAGATCATACATATCTTAGAGTAAAGATGTAGCGGAACCATATTTCCTAAATATTACAAGTACGGAGAGATACTTTAACGTATCTGAAATGTTCAAGTGTATCCTTGGAATGACACCTCTCATATGATAATGTTAAAGTCAGTCAGCGATAGCAAATATATACGTATAAAGCAATTCAAATGAACTCATTGATATTATTTTCTGATATCATTTTCAAGCATGTATGTCTTTAAGATTGATCAACCTTCCTAGGTGTGATTTTTATATCAATGTTATGCCATTCATGTATATCACTCAAACTCGCAAACCATACAATAAAAAATTCAAACATGCCCGCTACTTAACAGGAATTCATGATACCGTTACAATCCGCAAAGTAATACTAAAAATTCAGGAATTCTAAAAATCGATTTTGAAGAAAGTCAATTTATTGTATACCTCCCAAACTTGAAGTGAACATTTATTATGGTAGTCTGAAAGAAGATGTCTAGCCTGATGATATGTTGCGGAGTACTAAATACATACTCTACTTTTCTTTTGATAAAAATTATTTCCTCAACCTTAACTTCTATAATTTTTATTGTTCCGACCAGGTAATAATGCTTATCACGATTTAGATTTTTATATTTTTTGTCATCACACAATATTTGTACTTGTATACTTATTTGCTTTTACTTATTCTTCACGCCCCATATTTCTTTCGAATATATCAATTTTTAGTTTTTAAATTGAAAGTAAGATGACGTATGTAGACAATTCTAATATGTTTCTCAACTTTATTGAGTATATCTATAAGGAACGAAGATAAAGAGACACAACTTGCATTTGAATTAACATTTTTTACAGGATGACACTAGTGGTCACTACGGGAAATGTCTCTTGGCACTGATTGGTGAATACTGAAGTCCCACAGGTGATATATTTTTCTGTTTTTGTGACCTTGTGACCTTAGTGTGTTCGAAATCCGACTTTTTATCTACAAATACTGAAGTTTACCAAAAGATTCTATTTTACCTACGTTTTGTTCCACTCTCATAATTTCATCAATCATAATCTCCACGAGTCATCACGTTTAATTACGGTATTATTAAAATATTAATTTTTTTCAGAGTGATGCAGGTGGAGCCTATGAAGATGGCCTGCTAGGATTAATTGGGGAATTGGAAGACTCTGAATAAGTCCGCATTAAGTTACGATCCAAAAGGGATGAGAAATATCCGTATTAAGTACTTCATATTTTTTAAGATATGAAAGTAACCGTACAAAAAACCGATTATTGATATTATACAAGGACTAGAGAACAAATCGCAGAAACTTTTTGTTAGCTATTTCAATATATGCATTCTCTATAAAGCTCATATTTGTGTCGTTGCGAAGAAAGTGTTTCTCATTTCTTTTGGATAAATTATAGCACCTATACTTCTTAAAACTTGAATGCGCGAAAATTTGTTGTTCATGCTTCTACCAATGAAGAATATACTTCCATAAATGTATAATACGCCTTATTTTATAACAGTATTCGTAACTTGAATCATAGACAATGTATTCTACCTTGAGATAGTCAACCTACTATATTCGCGCGTCCAAAAACATTTTCCGAGATGAAATAAGATTCTGTAGCATGAGAATTTGTCACAGCTATCTTTCTCCTTCCCACAGTAATAAGGAATCTACGGTAATCTCTCATAGATGACGATGTATCGTTCCATATATGAGCATATAGCAACAGCGCCATCTACGAGACACTACATTTTTTAAAGTCCACATCTAGCATAGCTGTAACAAATTCTCATAGATGACGCTACGGTATCTCATTTCATCGTGTGAATAATTTTTCGGACGTACGAACATAGTACTAGGCTGGCAATCTTCAGGTGGAACATGTTATTCAATGCTTTAATGTAATCATTCCTTCATTTACATGTCAAATTGCCAAAGTCTAGCTTTATATAGTGGAAAAGTTTATATCATACATGTAACATGGTTAATGGTAGTTATAGTTGGACTACAAATTTCTAAAGTATTTAGTTTTCTACTGCATAAAAATGCACTAATTATCCAGATTATCATTATTGTTGTACTAGTTAGACATAAATATATCATTGTTGCAAAAAAGTATTTCATTACTGTACCTCAGGGCAAATAGATATTTGTAACATAACCTCAAAATAGAGCGGTGACACGGAACAGAAGAAAACTACGAAAATCGAAGAGGTCTTAAAGGCATCCTACAGTTGTAGGAACGACTGACGATACGGATGAGGAGGTCGGATTCAGGAATCCAGAATGTCCGGCCAAACTTTGCGATTAAATTACATAGAAGACTGATCTATTTTCTCTCTGACGAAGTACATGTAAGCTAGAAGCCTTTTATAAAGTGTCAGCTCTCGCATACAGTTGTTGATTTTAGTAAAACATATTATCCTCCGAGACTGCTGTATATTTCCAACGAACACGAGCAGTTCCAACCTAACCTAAAAATTAGGTTTCTTTCTACACAAAGTAGACAAACTTCGTGTTGTCTTAGAAAATGAAGAATCTACTAAATAATTATGCTCCCAGATGGACTATTGCTGACAGTTTACCTACAGTAACGTGAAACTATAACAGCAGAATAATACCTTCTTCATAGGCTGGCTCTAAGGAAAGTTCACTCAAGAAAAGATCATCTTCCATCGATACAATGCACATACACTCACAAGCGCTCTAAAAATACAATAAATCACTGAATTATGATTTTAATAGCTTGAGTTACCACCCTATTCACCACATTTTTCATCTGGTGTCATTTTTTTCATGCTTTGAGACACTCAAGTGAAGAAGTCATTTCAGCCGCAAATGTGGATTTTGAAGGATTTCCAAAAATCACAACAGAGAAAGCGTAAATCAATAAAAAAAATGTGTCGAATTCAAGGAGATTATATTGGAGAATAAACGTCTAATCTTTTTTCATGTCGAGTCCAGAAACCTTTCAAATTGTGTCAATGTCACGGGGCAGGTACTTCTCACTTTTCGGTACTAGGGTATCAGGAATGGCTTTCCCCAAAGGATTCAGTTCAGCACAAGTTAATCCCTAAAAATTAGTTACGAACATGTACAATAGATAAATTAAACGGATCAAGTCCGTGAAACAGGTCCATACAATTAGTCCATAGGCATTCTTTCGCTGCTCTACCCGCAATATTGTCCATCTGGCAACGTCACCTCTCCCCAATATCTGATCGTATGATTCAGGGAGCCTCTATACCAGTTGTACCGGAGAAATGAGTAAAAAACGACCTCAAAACTTGACGCCCGACTGATACCGCAGCAATCGGAGTGTATCAGCTACTGCACGTCCGCAGGATATTTATGGTCAGGAAAAAGTGTTAGTCTCAAACTTGTGCTAATACCACATCTCGATACTAAATATTTTGACTAGTAATCCATTCAGGATCATCCTTGTCTGTTAAATCTGCTGGAGCTTCTCACAGTAGTATGGAAACGATTGTCGACTGCGACGTACAACCACGGTTGACGACGCTTGTCCATCGGGGGGACGCCATCGCATGTATTGACATCCGACTGTAGAAGTTTTAAGGGTAAATCTACTGGGACATATGATGAGTGAAAAATGCCTGATATGTGCGTAGAATTACCCTCCCCCACTCGCTGCAACCCTTAACCTCCACCTTTCGACCTTCAAAAATTTTTCGTCTGGAACGTCAAAAACAAAGTTTGAGCCGATATTCACAAACTACAAAGCTTTTGCGTACTAGGCATAGTAGTAACATTGTATAAAAGTTTCATCGAAATCCGAGCGGTACTTCTCGAGTTATAGGCGAATATAAAATTAGCGGACAGACCGACAGACAAACAGACCTGCGGAAAGGAGTGATATGGTTTTTCGAGATGTAGCTCTCATATAATATAGAAAAAACATAATATTATCTAGGTTTCGAAAATTTTCACGATTATAATTCCTCCCGTCCTCAGTAGGCATGGGACATAAACTGTCACCTGGAAGACAGATAAACAAAATATGTTGTAATAAGAGTCGTCATTTCTATCCGAAAAAGGCTACCGTGGTGACTGAAACATAGTGTCGCCAAACAGTAGTTCAAACATATGTGGTTTTATGCGGGGTGGGCGGAAAATCTGACGACCTCCACATACCAATGGTTTGCCGAAGTTGATAATCCTAATCACATATTATGATGAATGATGACAGAAAACCACTACGCTACTGGATTTCAACTGCTCGACGTTCTGCGCAATGTACAGATAGAAGTCGCACGACCAAAACGGTCTGGCCCATCTAGAAGCCGGAATACAAATTATTCATAGAGCAGACGAACAATGGCTTTCTATACATTTAGTATATGCATAAATAGATAAATATGTACTATTGAAATGATCTAACTACGAGCAATCGCAGAATGCGATGATTTATGCTCATTAGCAACTCATGAGCCGGTAGCTTAGAGGTTTTCCGTCATCTTTCATCGTATGGGATGAGGATGAAGATCAGCTTTGTCAAACCGTTGTTAGGTACAGATCGTTAGATTTTTCGCCCGCCTCTGCAAAGTAATTTTGAGTTTTTCTAACGACCACATCCATTTGTTTGCTTTCCGTTCATCTGCCTCTAGGACTACTAGACCTGTACCGCACTGATGAGTTGTTAAAGAACGAAACAGCGCTGTCTGTAGTAGTTCGTGGCTACAGGGACGGAAAGCAAACATGTCAATTTCAACGTGTGGTTTTATTTTGCCTCTAGACAAACATGGAGGATTGTATGGGAATGAGAACTTGGGATTTCACTAACATTACGGATAGTGAAAGTGGCAACCTTGTGGCCACATGGATCCTCAATTTTGCATTTTCTGAATGATTATTCATTGAAATTGTACCGCTGAATGAATATTGCTGTGTTTGATTTTTATCACCGAAAAGTCCTGCTTGTAAGACCTTGAAATCTACATGTATATGCACTGAAATGTCCATGTATGTGCATAGTGAGCATCTTTTGCTTAACGACAATTACAATTCTTGTCTTTTGTAAGTTACCCAGTCTCTTAAGGAAGGTAGGACATTCAACAATTCCGCTAAATGTACCTCCTATCAAGCCCCCTATCAATATCCTGCGTTTATCGCGACCTCCTAAAAGCTGCCTGGCCCCATTAGTCTATCAATCTCTCGTGGCTTTTCCAATTGTTTATACCAGAGGTTTCAAATTCGACTCTCACCATTGCATGGGGATCGCGGAAACGGTAAGAGGTTAAATCAGGGTAAAGTTGCGCATTTAGGTGACTAAGAAAATGGCACTTAGATGTTTCTCAATTTACCACTTTTTCTCCTCTACAGGGTTGCATAATTAGAATTTCAGTATTGGGTTTCGTCTATTCTCTTTAATCATCAGTTTTATTTTTTCTTATATATCCATATTGGATCTTTTCACAGGTGAATATAGTTTTTAATTCTGATTCCAGAAATGTATAGTTTGTCATACATATTGGACATTGCCAAACCTTAATTGGTAAAAAAAAACTTCCTAAGTAGGCCTTGAAATTATTAGACAGTCATTTTTTTCATTATATCATTAGCAAAGCATTTCTTCAGTTTTTATGAACTAAGCATAGGTGAACCGCCAATTTTAGTAATGGGGTATTGTTCATATAATGAGATATATTGCTATTATTAAGCTTTAAACACCTAAAAAGATGGAGACAAGTGGTTTGCCTCTGCACTTCCTAAGCAACGCCGTCATCAGTCGATAAAGGACTAAGTTCAGCACAAATTAAATTACCGGGGCTGGGAGCGTATAAATATACTAACATCAAAACTTTGGGTTATATTCTCCCTCATCCCCGCACAACCCCGCACCCCATAATTTTCAGCAGGTTCCAAGTGCAAAGCTTTCCTGCACACTTTTGCCTTCTAGTCACAAAATCTCGCTTCACAGGAGACTGAATCGCGAGAAACTGATAATTTCTTCATAAGTTACCAGTTTAAACCAGATATTCTTTTCACCTGGTATATGAATAACTGTTTCTAGCGATATTCAGTATAGCTGAATGCCGATTAAGGAATTATAAATGTACGTCTCTAACGAGGTATAATATGTTAAATTATGGTAATATTACAAATCCATGGTCACCAGGAAAAGATAGATACGTAAAGGTGAATAGACGAAAACTATCCCTATAATTATCTTCAATTACATTTGCAAGGCTTACCTGCTTTAAACAACAGAAAACATTGAGTAAGGTAAAAAAAATGTAAATGAACGTCTGAAATGTGTCCTATAGTTGTCAGCTTAATCAGCCTCTAGTAATTTCTGCCCAATTATAATGTATTGTTAATTGCTTCTAATACTATTTATTGTAAGTGATCAATATGTGTATTAACTTCTCGGGGGAGCCATTTCAGTTTTTTAGCAACTTCAGCTGAACTTCTCAATGTTTAATAAGGGAATGTACCGTACACAATATTTGCCATTGTAAAGAATACTCATTAATTAGTATCATATTTCACAAATAATAATAATAATGTTTATTGTCACAAAATACAGGTAAATATCAAATATTGTGCACAATAAACATAAAGCACCCAAAAAAAGTTTGCACTTGTGTTTGGGTTTGTTAAAAACAAAAACTAATAGTACAGTCAGTGTATGAAGAAAAAAAAGAAAAAACGTTAATACTGTATAATTTGGTGAATTATTATGGTAATGTCAGGAAAAATATCCAGACAATTATAACTAAAGTAAAAGTATGGATGTTAGTGTAAGTAAAATATTATTGATTTTGATAATGATTTTTCAGATCTACAATTTCGTGGATGAAGTACCTTTGTTGTTGTAAAATCCATTTTTTTAGTTCTTTTTTAAATGATTTATTTGATTTAATTACTTTTAATGACTCTGGTATGAAGTTATAGAATTTTGGTCCCAAGAAAAACAGAGATCGTTGTGTAAGGGTTTTTGATGTTTGTGGAATACACATTGAATTTTGATTAAATCTTGTTGGGTAGTTATGAATGGTACGATTCAAGTATTTCGAATATTTGAAATAATGTATTAGACCACAATAAAAATAAATGTGTCTGCAATCTAATAGCTGAGCCTCCACATATAGAAAATCACTTGAGAAAGTAAGCTCCCTATGGAGAATCAATTTTAGAATTATTTTTGGATTACATCAACGTTTTTGTAATTATTATTCATAACTCACCCCTCCCCCCCCAAGCCAGAATTCCGTAAAGTAATAGAGAAAAAGCAAGAGCATAATATAGATTATATAGATATTTCTTATCTAGAATATCTCTGAAGTACCTGAATTTTGGAATAATACATCTCAGTCTCTTCACAAGGTACTTGTATGGGTATCCCATTTTAAGTGTTTGTCCAAAATCACGCCTAAGTATGTATTTTATTTCATCGGTTGACTGAATCTCTTTGAGACCACTGCTTGTATGAACTTCAAGTTTTTTAAATTGTGGTGAGAGCCTGTCGTTATAATAAAAAAGATATAGAACACAGCAAAACTCAGGTAATTACAATGAGAACAAAATATTCTTTTTTCTGTACAACCGTAGTAAAATAGGGTACAGTATTTTTCCCTGCAAAGTGCGCAATTTTTACTTCTCGCGCCTACCGGCTAGAAAGTATTTTAATCGCGAAAATTTTGGAAAATGAAACAAAATATTCTTTTTTCTGTACAATCGTA